TATTTATTTATTTATTTATTTATTTATTACCTTTGTTTCTTTTGTATATTTCTGATCAAACCTATTTTCCACCTTGTAACTGAGAATCACACTCAGGTGGGGAGGAGGACAGCTGTAATCTGTCTTCAGTCCATATCAGACCCTTAGTGGCAGCTCTGAACCACTTAAGAGTCCTCTGGAGCAGTYTGAACTGTTGTTGAGAGTAAGAGTGATTCTTACACTTAAGAATTTTTACAACTGGCACTTACACTCAAGTCTGAGAGTGGGAGCAAATCTAAGAAATTTTCAGCACTTAAGTCTAAAAATCCACTCTAAATACGGGCCCTGGACCTGGTCTTACCTCGATCTGAGCCATCTCCTCCCTGTATGCTTGTGTCAGGGTTTTAGTTTGGTCCACCATCCTTTCAATCCCTAGGTCTATCTCCTCGGCATTCTTCCTCAAATCCTTCACGTAGCAATCACCTGCCAGCTTGTGTTCCTGCTCAGCGCAACGTAACAAAGTAATGAAATCCAGAATGAAAAAATACCATTTTTCTAGTTTTATGAAGGTGAGTTTTAAAGAGGACAAACAGCGTGTCAGTGGATTAGTTACCTGCTGAAACGTCTTTGTGTGTTTCTTTTTGTCTTGTAAGAGAACAGCACAAAGCTCCTGCTGCTTGTTTTGGGCTTCCCGCTGGTCCTGAAGGCTCTCCATCTGACTGMTGAGCAACAATCCCCTCTCAATCTCGTCAAATTTCTCCTGACTTGTTTTCGCATCATTCTCCAGCAGCTCTGCTCTGCATCACAAAAACAATTAGTGAAATCGACTGAACAAAGTGTAGAGCATTATGGAACACGAGCTGTAAAATGAAAAGGAATGACCTCTTTTCTTTTGCTTTCTGCAGCTGCGTCCTTTTCTGCACCACTTGGGCATCAGCTTCAGTTTGGACATTGGCTAAAAGGTCTGCCAGATGTCTCTTCAGTTCGACAAGTCTCTGAATGAAAATGAAAACAAACAAAAAGAAATTACTTGAATAAACATGAAATAAGAGCTACAACACTTTAGGCCATGGACTGTTTCGTAGATACCGTTTAGCACCGCCGACTGGAAACACTGGTTTATGGGGTTGTTTTGGGTCAACTGAAAATAAAGGTAATGATGAGACATGTTCTCAAACCTTAAAGATTGGATTGTTGCACATTTTAAAGTATTTCTTTGGATTGATGGACACACTTGTCAGGGACTTTTATGCTGCTTAAATGTTGGGATTAGTGCCTAAAACAGAAATCTGAAGATGCAAAATCGCAGTAAAGTTGTACTGTTGTAAAACTACTTCACTATAAATATAATGTGTTAATTACCATAGTATCTCACAATATCACATCTATTGCTAGAGAAAATCCCAGTATGCAGTGATCATAACAGCATTATGACCAGTGGGGCTCAGTGATAAACATAAATAATCTACATTTCATTTTGAGGCCGACCCATGAGTCATTAAATTGTTTAATGGTGGTGAACACACTTGTTATTGTGGTCTATAGTTTTCTGTATGGTGTGTATCACTGTTAATAAATAAACCATACACCATTTCAAAGAGGTGTTCAAGTTCTAATAAAGTGTTCAGATGATCTGTAGTCTGCAAATATGATACACAGCCAAAATAACGTAAACAACGTTAGATCTACACTATGTCCTGATGCATCTCAGTAATCCAGGTAAAAATCAAAAAGAAAAAAATTGTATAGGTCTTCTGGACGGGTTCTTCTCTAATGAAACGTTTCGTCTCTCCTCCAAGAGACTTCTTCAGTCTTATGGTGCGTTCACAGCAAACGCAATTTCAGCATCAGGAGCAGCAGGTTTACATGCAAAGTCTATGGTGGACGTGCTTCAAGC